ATAAAGAATTATTTTTGGAGTAATAGTAAGATGATTTCCGTAATCTTGAACAGTAAACCTCTAAGTGATGTAGATAGAACTATTGATAGCCAACAGATAGCTACATATGGAGTTACCCTCAGATAACGACAAGATATAATAACTGAAAGTCAGTTTTCTGATTTCTAAAACATCTAAAAGGATGTCATTTGTTAAACTTTCTCTAGAAAATATCAAATAATGATTTTGGTATAAATGAAAACCATCTAATCGCGCTAGCGCACAAAATAACACGTTAAAGCAATAACAAAAATTATATCACTATTACTATTTAAAAACTTACAAGACGTTTATATGTCCTTTGCACACATTTTTCATATGTATCATCTCCAAAACATCCTTCACATGCCAACTTAAACATTTCAGCCAATCTTTGTTTGCTTCTCCCCAAACTACACAAACACAACAAAAGTCTTTATTAATGTTATTTTTTAGAATAAAACCACTAGATGAACTTGGGTGATCAGAATCAGCTGAAAAATAAGTCTTCTTTATTTTTGTTTTGACTGATTTATCTTTTTTTATTTTGACTTGTGTTTAATACTGAACACATTTTTTATTAGAACCTTTTTAGCAGAAGGCTCTTTTATAAACTTAACATTATCTGGTGATGCAGTAAGAGCAATACAGCGTTTTAAGTGAGTAGGTTTTCTTTTTTTCCGGAGAAGATACAATAGTCCTTAAAACAGATAAACTTGGGTCTCGTAGATGAATTTTTGTTTTATTATCTCTTTTTTTTTGTATTCGAATACTTTCACTGTATTTTTAAGGGTATGCAAACCGCAATAGTAAAACGCATTAACAATCAATCCTCTTTTTGTTAGCATGTTGGGCCATATTTTGTTAACAATAACGTGAAAGTTGCAATATTTTGTTAAAAATAATGTGAAAGTTTCAACGAGAAATAATATCATTTTCAGCTAAAAAGTTAGACAGGGCCTAATGTTTAACTACTTAACCAACATGTGTGTCAAGTGGTTGAAGGCGATGTGTACTATAAGGTGGAATGCATATCATTTCAATATCCATCTCTATTACTAATTGCTTCAAAAATTAATCATCCAAAAAAAGCTACTTTTTTCCCATCCACTTTTGTAAGAAACTCATTAAAATGATGTAAAAAAAGTCAATATACATCTCTTAATCAATATATTAATTAATTTACTCAATGTACTTTTGTACCCAAAGGAAATTTAGATGTATCTAGAATCTTTGTTCCTTTAAATATGAAAAAATGGTGATCAACTGTCCCCTGCTGCATTGACAGTGGCCAGGTATGTTGCTAGTGCGCCACGTTCACCAATAATTAACTTTTTTACCTCACGAGAGCCCTATACACAAAACCACTTGGTACAGATGAAAGGCCGCTTTCATCACAATTATAAATCAAATTTTACATAATTTTTATTTGCAATATATACATTTTAGGTTACACATTATAATAAGCTTGTTTACATGTGTCTTTATATGTGTTTACATTAGAGTAGCGTTCATAATTAAAACTTTAAAAAGTTTAAAAGATTAACTGTTAACTAATATATTCTGAAAAGGCTCTTATAAATAAAATCTGAAGCTTTGAAGTACATTTTTAGCACAACTTTATTTTCTTTCAAACGGCGCTCCAAAGTTTAAAAGTTTGCGTGATTAAAGAACCTAATTTATCTTAAGTATTATCTTTTTTTTAACGACGAAGTTGCCCCTCATTTGAGTATGTGATAACAATCATATAAAAAAAACATATCAACTTAAACTGTTGATTTAAAAATATTGACATCGATCTATCGAAAAAAATATACTTTGCAGTCAAAACATCGCGTATTTTGATTTTTTTTTTGACGATAAGCATTTAAGCAGAAAAATTTTTTTCAACTTTGATGTTTACTCGCAATATTTAAAGAATAATCAAAGGAAGATATATAAAACACTTATTTAATAATATTCTACAAATATCAGTTGATTAAGTTTCAAAAAAACCTAGTAAATAGATTTCTTAGTTTTTATGCATTATTACCTAGTAAATAGATTTGTTATGAGATCAAACGAGAGGCTCACATACACACTGCCTCGTACACTAACTAAATACAAAAGAATATACTATAACATATTGAAGGCCTAAAATATGGAACAGTTTTAAAAATAACAAAATCAATATGATGAAAACAATAAATTCATTTAAGTTTCATATATATATGTAAAAACAAATTTTGAGATCAAATGACAGCTTTGAAACTTAATATATACGCTATCGTTTTTTAATATGCACTATCGTTTTTTAACCAAACTTTTTGATATATTCAAAGGAATTTATTCCTCTTATTGTCTTTTTTTCTTTACTTTTTTTTACGGAGTTTTGTGATTTTTTAAAGATTTTAACGGAGTTTTTTTATTTTTCTATTTTATTATCATAACTATTTTTCTTTACACTTGTTAAAGCTCACATAGGGGCTCTATGAAAAGATTGTAGAGACTCTGGTCATCCATATCTTCTTTGATGCCCTTTCTGTTTATATAAATATATATATATATATATATATATATATATATATATATATATATATATATATATATATATATATATATATATATATATATATATATATATATATATATATATATATATATATATATATATATATATATATATATATATATATATATATATATATATGTATGTATATATATATATATATATATATATATATATATATATATATTCTTTTTATTATCGAATAATATTTTATATTATTGTATGAACTGCAGAATATATGGAAAAAAAAAAAAACTATAATTGGATGTATATAGTTTTATAACCAATTGTTGACATTAAAAAGAACATGAATAAAACTCTCTATGCTAAAATGAACCTAAAATCTGTTGAATAAAATAAAATATAAAGTTTTAAGCTATCCAGAAGCTTAAAACTTTATATTTTATTTTATTCAGCAGATTTTAGATTCATATTTTATTCAACAGATTAAGGCCGGCGCGATAGGGGTGTGTGGGGTGTGTGACACCCCCCCCCCCCATCAATTATTTTTAGTCGGCAAACTGTACCCTTAGTCGGCAAATTGGACCCTTTCGATATAGGTTAGACAGTCGGCAAATGTCGTCATGGCAGTCGGCAAATTTTGGAAAACGAGGGCTTTTTTTTTTTGTCGGCAAAAGTTATAATGGCACCCCCCCCCCCACGTGCCACCTACTCGCGCCTGCCCTGTATGTATATATATATATATATATATATATATATATATATATATATATATATATATATATATATATATATTAGGGTGGGTCATAAATTTTTTTTTTTTTGTTACAGGCTCTAAAAATTGCTAGAAAGTTGTTTTTTTATGCACTAATTTAGGAAAGTATTTACTTTTATGGATTGAACAATGTCTTCCACCCCAACTATAATTACAAAAATTAGCAGGCCCTATTATTATTCAAAAAAAAGTTTTTCAAAATTATGTAATGTAGGTACTCAAATAAAGCGAAATTTTATAAAAATTTCAAAAATAGTAATTTTTTCATATAAAAATTATTATTTTAGATTTTATTGCATAATAACTTTAGTTTTTTTTTAACTAAAAGTGAAAAAGGTGCATTTTTACATGTTTTTTAATAACAAAATTTTTTTAAACAATATGATTTTTATAAATGATTATTATTTTTGAATTTTTTATAAAATTTTGCTTCTTTTGAGTACCAGGTTAATCTACTTTTGAAAAACTTTTTTTTTCCAAAATATTAGGGTACGGTAATTTTCCCAATAAAGTTGCGCCCTTTAAATCTATCACAATCATTCTCATATTTGATAGTATCAATATTAATAACTATTTGCAATGTTTAGAGCCTGTCACAAGAAAAAAAAATTTATGACCTACCCTAATATATATATATATATATATATATATATATATATATATATATATATATATATATATATATATATATATATATATATATATATATATATATATATATATATATAATGGGGTGTGACATTCGCCCTCTATATTCTAAAAAAGATTTCTTCATATTCATATTTTTTATTGGTTTTCACAACATGACATACGTTTGAAAAACTTTTTTTTTATATAATATTAGGGACCCGGTAAGTGTTCAAGGTTCTGGTGCTCCCCCTAAATTCAATAAAATTTTGAAAATATTTAACAAAATTTTTTACTGGATAAGCTTAAAACTTTATATTTTTTTTTATTCAACAGATTATATATATATATATATATATATATATATATATATATATATATATATATATATATATTATATATATATATATATATATATATATATATATATATATATATATATATACACACACATACACACAGACACACTAATCTCTCACCTCGCTAATAAAGATTAATGAAGTTAAAAAAATACGCAAACCTTATTGTAAATACTCTTGAAAAATAATCATATCCTATATATTTGTTTTTATACTCGTTTCGTGATATGCGCGGTGTACTGATAATTTTAAAATCTTAGCCATAAAATACAATAACATTGATTCTAATTTCACCAAAAATATTGCTGAAGTGTAACCGCAAAGAAATGGTTGTCTTGGTTGCGCTTCAAAATTCAAAAGCTTTTTATTCTTATAAACTCGTCATTTTGAAGCACAAGCAAGACAATTAATCAGTTTTCAAGCTGACAAACTTTATTTTTCAAGACGAAAATTATTATGTTATGATAAAATTTAAGTATATATAGCATTTATAACGCGTAGGAAAATAATTATTAGAAACAAAAAAAAAGTTGATGTTTCGTGTTTTAAAAGGCTATAATGATTATCGTAAAAATTCGACATGCACAACGCTTGTTGAAAATTGTAACGAATCAACTTTTTAATTTACTCTAAATTAAAAGAAATGTATGCTTCATTTTTTCGGTACGCAAAGATTGTAAATTCTTTAAAGAAAAAGTTTTTAATACCTTTATATTATGTCATTACTAAACAACTTATATTATGCCGGAAAATGCAGAAAAGTTGGGAACAACTAATAGTCATAACCTGCAATCCGAATCCGATGTAAAAACATCCAAGTTGGAAAACTTGCAATATTGTACTCCTTATCCAAGATCTAAAGACAAATAATTGAAAATGATAAAGAATCATCAATAAAATCTGTACGCAGGAACGCAAATATCAGTAATATTATTAAACTCACTTGAATCAATTTAAACGAAAAATCTATTGCTTTCAAGGGGGTTTCAAATGACCACCTGTGATTGTTGTACACAACAACAGCAATGTTCGGTGTACAGCATAAACCAAAGGTTGAAGTGTCAGCTTCAGGTCATTATATAATCTCCTAATATTATCAATTGACTGCTCAGCATTTTCAATTGACTGAAAAATAAATAAATAATAATAATCAAGCAAAGTAAGTAACAACATAACAATTGTAATCACATTTTTTAAAATTTCAAATCAAATTTTAGTAGTTTATTTATATTTAATATACATACATTGACTAGAAAAAGAAATGATTCGCCACATTCTTTAACACTAGGAGTCCAGGATTTTCTTTTTGCTTCTTTACATAAACGTATGGAGCGTTTGCAGCATGTTAATCGTACAATAGCCAAAAGAGCAGCTGTTTCTTATTCTACCCCTATCACATATACATATATATATATATATATATATATATATATATATATATATATATATATATATATATATATATATATATATATATATATATATATATATATATATATATATATATATATATATATTTATATATATATATATATATATCCACATGAATGTATAAATATGATTTTCTCTATTGTCAGCTTGAAGCTCATAGGTAATTTTCTGCCCTTTTTAAAACTGTCTATCTGTCAAATTGAAAGCTGTCATTAATATATTTATGCTAATCATAAATTTTAGTTTAAAATAAAAAACTAACCATCTTGCATGGAATATTTCTTGGCAATTAGGCCTATCAATTTTTTTGCATGTAAAGGGATTTTTTGAAACAAAAGGTTGTTACAATGGTCATAGTTTTTCTGCATGCTCAATTGAGTAAAATCGATATTTACCTATAAAAAAAAGACATTATTTTGTATTTCTGTGGTAACATATAGTCAGTAATTTATAGACATATGTAATAACATATAACAAATATTTAAAATACTTACCAATACATCTGCTTTTAGATCTAAAAGAAGTTTAAAATTTGGAATGTCTTTGGTGCCTGATTGAAAACTTTTCAACCTAAATTTCGAAGTTGATTTCCATTTCTGGCACACTTCAGTACATGGTTGACTATTAAATTTAAGCCAATTAAGGTCATCTTGAATTTCTTCTTCTATATAAATTTTAAAATGTTAAAAATAAATATTATATGATATAAAAGTGTGCAAAGATGAATATACATTTTATCAAAACAAAAACTTATCAAACAAAATTTCAATGATTAATTATATATATATATATATATATATATATATATATATATATATATAATTTACTAAAAATATAAAACACAATACACTATTTATAACAACTAAATCATATAAAGCCATCACTAATATCATGTTCTTCAACTAATTGTTGCTCATTAGAATTTTTTAAAATACCCGCTGATTTAATATTTCGCCATGTGTTGCGAAGCTTTTCTTTCAATTTTCCACCAGCTATCGTTTTTTTATTTGTAGGAGCAGTATACCATGTTTCCTAACAAAGAAATTAAACATAAATAGCATTAACAACAGTTTCATTAAAAATCACATTAACTGATAGCTCTGAAAGTTACTTACAATCTTTTCTGAAGGAAAATGTGCAATAATGGCATTTGCTGATTCACAGATTTCTGCATTAGTTGGACGATGTATTCAGAACAATATAAAAGTGATTTAAGTATCAAAAAAATTTTATCAAATTTTCTTATGTATTTGCATTACTCTATACTACCATGACATCTATTTATACACTTGTAACTTTAGTAATAGATTGACAATAGTATATAAAAATAATATTGAAAACCTAACAATTTTTTTATTTACTGCAAACCTTTCCTTTGAATAATATGGTTGACTAGTTATAGGCATTCAAAACTTGTGTCACAGAAAGAATCCTTTTGTGACAAAAGTTTCAATTGTTATAATAAAAATGTGAAATTTTACAAACTTAAATTTTTACATATAAATATTATTTATAAGTAGTATGTAAAGTATTTTTTACCTCATCTGAAAGTTTTCAGTTATTTTTGAATTTCCGATTTAATTTGCAAATGTCATTTGAACAATAAGACTTTTTAATCTTGCACTAAAGAACATCAAATAATTATACAAACATTTTTTTATTGAAAAAAAAAAAATTTAAATGCTACCAAGATCAATAGTTATATTTTGTGTATTAACGACACATTTATTTTTATTTAAATTTCGTAGTTTCAATGGCCAAGGTGAGATGATGTTATCAAAGTGAGAGCAATTTAAAACAATTAACTCTGTTTCAATGTCAACCTCAAAAGATTGCAAGTGATAGCCATCATTTATAATAAACAACTTTTGACAAATGAAATAAAAAAAATCAGTATCAGATACCAAAATTTTTGTTGATTACACAAAATGCAGGATATAATTCTTCAACTGGATAAATAACAACATCGCCAATTTTAAAGTTAACGAAGTTAACAGAAACACTTTTTGTTTGGAAAAATTCTCTTTACAATCCATAATTACCTATCAAATCTGATATAGCTTGTCCATCAATCACATGGCATAGTAAAATAGGCTTAGTTTTGGCAACATAAAATTCATTATTTTTTAAGCCATGTTTTGCCATGAACTGAGTTGTCTGATCCAATTGGTGTCTAATAGCTACCGTTTTACAAACATTTTAAAAATTGCCCACAGATGAAGCAGTTCTCTTAAAATCTCTTAATTTACCTTCACAATGCATTACCCATATAAGACTTAACAGACCAAGCAGTTTAATAATACGTAGATAATGAATAAGGTTATGAAACTTCAAAGTTAAACCACACTTAAACACAAAACAGTATTCTTGTAAAAATTCAGTGATAAGAGAACCAAAATACAATAAAATGTAAACCAAATGAGTAAAGGACAATTTGTCTTAACAATATAAAAACAACCCAAACATTGTCATCAAAAGGAACTAAATCTCCAACTAATAAAGGAAAGCTAAAAACCAAATTTATATTTCAATTGCACCAATATTAATTGAACCATTTTTTATTTGATACTCAGTGGGACACAAAGGAATTGACGAGTAATCATATGAAAAATTTCTCATTCTGCTATTTACGTTACCTAGATTGCAGAATAATTTCTGAAATACTAGATAGTTTAACATTTTTTGAAAAACATATTTGCAAATGCCTTCTAACAAATTGTGCATAATATCACAATAAATATTATGATTAACATAAAATGATGGAATTTTATTAAAGCAACACTTTTCCTTTATACCATTGAGGGAACAATTATGTAATGAAACATCATAATCAAGATTGTCACCGATAATTTGAACAAGGACAACATATATTTTAAATTCATCATCATTTATTTTTATAGTAAAGCCTTTTGTTTTTAACTCTGTCATTTCTTTGATGTATATAGAAAATGCATCTTTATTTGAATATTTAATGCGATCAGAAGAATATATAATTGCAATTAACAAAATATTCTCAAGTTTTGAGTTATGAAGCGGTTTTAAATATTTTAGAATTGTACACAAAGCTCCAATTTTGTGAACAGTGCAATGCGAACCCAATGGATTAGCAGTTTCTAAATCATCAAAAAAACAAAAAACTGGACTTACAAAAGTATTTTGGGAATGAACATGTTGACGACGTTATTGATGATTTTGTCACAACTCTCCATTTTTAAAGTCTGAAACTAAACCATTAGTAGATGGTTTTATATTACTTCTTATTTCATCAAGTATACCAGGAAGACAAAGAAAAACTTCAAGACACTGCTTTAATGAAACATATTGCCCTCTTGCTAACCATTCCAGACGATTTTTTTATAATTAAAATATTTAAAAATAATTGATGTCATTTTATCGAGCTTGGTTTGATTTAAAAAATGAGGGGTCATTTGGCTTTGAAGTTAAGCGAATCAAAAGTTATTGACCTTTTTTTACTAAAAAAACGGGTGATTTTTTGACAAATGGTATAGGGCTTAAGTATGGAAAATTTAATGCGAAATAGCACCGAAAATGAGTGTATTATTGACAATTGAAACGATAATACATTTGACTTGAAATTTTCCATAGTGACCAATTAACTATAAAGAAATAAAATTCCAAATTTTTTTTTAAATTTGTCGGGATTGATCAGAATCATCTATTTTACAGACCAAGGATTTTTACTAATTTATTTATTTTGGGGTCATACTGACTTTTGAATAACTTTTGAAACAGTAATACATTTGACTCAAAATTTTCCATAGTGACCAACCAACTATAAGGAAATAAAATTCAATTTTCTTTTTTTAAATCTGTCGTGATTGGTGAGAATCATCTATTTTACAGACCAAGAGTTTTTACTAATTTATATTTTTGGGGTCATACTGACTTTTGAATAACTTTTGAATTGTTATTACTTTTGACTTGAAATTTTTCATAGTGATTAAACAACTATAAGAAAATAAAAAAACAAAATTTTATTTTAAAAAATCTTCCGCTATTGTACAGAACCATCTATTTTACAGCCTGAAGGGTTTTATATTATTTTCTTATTTTTTGAGGAATATAATTTGGGGTCATATTATAATTATACCATGCGAATATGCATAAAGGAATCATGGAATCCAAAAAATACATAATTTGAAAACTATTGCATAATTTACAGACTGGTCAGTGTTATAATCACATAAATTACTGTTCGGTCAGTAAATTGCTGAAAATTGGCTGTTCAACATATCAACTTTAAATAGTTTGTAATTTTTTGAAAATTTTTGATATTTTTGCACCATTATTACATTTGACTTGAAATTAAGAATAGTGATCCAGTTTTTATTAAATCTATCGGGATTATCCAGAATCGTTTATTTTACAGAGTGAAGGGTTTCTACTTATTTAATTGTGTTATGAAGAAAAAAAAATTAGGGTTGCACAATGCAAATATGCAAAAAAGAATCATGGAATCCAAAAATTGCACCATTTGAAAATTATTGCAAAATTTAGAGACCTGTCAGTAAAATCATTGCATCAATTACAGACCAGTCAGTAAATTACAGAAAAAGGGATGTACAAACCAATTGGGCAATTGGACCTTAAATATATTTGATAATTTCCAACTGTTATTACATTTGACTTGAAATTTTTGATAGAGGTACAAAACTATATTAAAATTAAATGCCATATTTTTTTTTTTTTTGCATCTGACGAAATTATCCAGAATTGTTAATTTTACAGACTGAAGTGTTTTTACTTATTTACCTAGTCTTTTAGAAAAAAATTCAGGTTATATTATAAAAACTCCATGCTAATATGCATGAAGGATCATGGAATCCAATTAATTTATCTGTTTAAAACTACCACTTAATTTACAAACCGATTAGTAAATCACTGCGTAAAGGCATTGAAATCTATCTGAATCATTCAGAATTACCTATTTAACAGAAAGAAGATTCTTTAATAAAGTTAAATTTGAATGAAAATAACTTACAGCAATAGAACTTCCTGAAATTTTGAGTACTTACAACAGCAATAGCAGGTGTGGCAACAGAAACTCTACCTAAAACTGTAACAAAATTATTATTAATAACACAGATACACAATTTTTTTAAAATATTTGTTAATTCGTTTTAAAAATTAAAAATTAAAAAAAAAATTATAAATTAACAATTAAAACTAAATAAATATAAAATAAAAAACTTACTCTTTGAGAATGTTTATGTGAACTATTGACAACACCCAAGATAAAAAAAAAAAAAAAAAAACAAGATTAAAACAAAAAATATTGCTATTCTACAATTTATCTCTTGACTTTTAGTGAATGATTAGAAGTAGCTAGTTTCAGTAAGGAAACAAACTAATAATCATTTTTAAAGATAGACACCAGCGTGAAGGTAAGCCAAGTTGTCTATCAACACAAAACATCACAACAATAACATCACAATCACAAAACATACTAAATGCTGCAAATTCACACTAGTGTCAAAACTTAGATAACAAGTTTAACTTTTATCCTCAGCCCTTTACCATTTCTAACCAACATTAATGATCATTAAAAGCTCACAGGTGAAAACCAACATTAATGATCTTCCTGAAAACTATTAAGTTGGGAGTTACTAGGAAAAAAAAGAACAGAGTTATAGAGCAA